ATGCGTTTGTATAATTAACACGGACATACAAATGGACAAACATGCATAATATAGAAGGATTTAAACTAAATAATTAGCTGAAATGTGATTTATTATAAATAAAGCTTGCATGCATGATGTTAAACCAAAACAGGGTACTAAAATATGAACCCTAACTAGATAGGATTGTAATTAATATATAAGAAACATGTAATAGATAATTAAGCCGAAACGCATCAACCTCTCAACGAGATTATATAATAATTATATATAAGACACAACTAATCAATATATATATATCTTAGTTATTCATTAATCAAGCTCCTAATAATGGCTGCTTGTGGGCTATTAGGGTCAATGGTCTCCAGAAGCTGAGACAATCGATCACTGAGGTCATCGGCTTCTTTGTTCAAGTTTCTTATGTAGTTGCAAGTCTCTTGTAGCACTTTCGATGCTGATACCTATATATTTTATAAAAAATGTACATTAATTTATAGTCAGAATTTGTTATTAATGATCAAAACAAGTCTTAGCATGAACTAATGATGCGTGTTAATCAATAATGTGAAAAATATCTAGACACTAATTGCTAGACTTGTTACATGCATCATGCATTATATTGCTATAAAAATAAAGCTTAAGATAAATGCTCATAACTTTTAAATGTTGTTCAACAATAAAAGCAAAAGCTAACCACATTGTTTTAGAATTGAGAACAAATCTAAGGGGTGAATGGTGATGTGTACTATAAGAAAACGATGCTTCCATTTATAGAAACCGGCCTCTTTCTTATTTTTTTTCTCTAGAGTTTCGTCCTTTTCTTGTTTTATAGAAACCAAGATAACTAAATATATAAATACGGAAAAAAAAACAAGTCGGTGCTTAACATAAATGTATTGAATTGACAGTTCGCGAAGCAATATAGTCGTCGTCTCACATTCATTGTAATTAATCAATAATATAAGAAAATTTAATTAGAAGCTTAATGCTAAAGTTAGGGGAAATATGTCCCCCGTCTCCTCAAAGTCCGGTTAATGGTCAAAAGTCTTTATAGAAACTTCAAATTGCAATCTCCCACACGTAATTACTATATATGATTATAATGCACTATTCTAAAACGTTTGGTGTCATGTGAGTTTCTCTAGTAAACATAGTAAATAACCCTAGATAAATATCATAAAATTCAAACTTGTGTAAATACGTACAATTTTAGAGTCTATATAGTAACTTTTTGAAAAGTATGTTTTTACCGTGTTGGAACGACGGTTCTGGCGAATCTCTGGAATAGACTGTCGGAGCTTTGAGATGAGATCGGTAATTTGGTCATCGCTAATTCTTGATGAAGCTTGTCTCGACCTTCTGCTAGACGACATTTTGATTTGAAAATTTTTAAATATTTTGGATATATATGAATCCAAGAAAATACTCTCTTTTATTGATGGCTTGTGGGTTAGAACAGAAGTATAATTTGTGTTTGTCGAGAGAAAGGGAGAAGAAAGTAGAAGAAGAAATTGTGTTTATATAGAGGGCTTGGACCACTTCT